TTACCCAACAAACCAATACATGCACATACATGCAATACAGATTGCCTGCCTCAGACATGGGCGAAGCAGACGAGAATGTCGTTCGTGTTCATCGTGATGAATTCGGTGGCGTTGTGCTTCAGCACGACATCGGTCCAGAGGTATGTTGTACATTGATCTTCCAAATACAGACACCCTATCTTTAGGCAAGTTTCGTGTTTACCAATGATTTTCATAGATGCAGAGAACTTTGAGTGAGCAAGAAGAGTGGGCAATTGAACATGCGAAGTTGCACGAAAAACATAGAGGTCACGAACAAATGCACCTTGAAATGATGCTCATACTCGTGGTAACGCTTGTTGTCGCTCAAGTCTTCCTGGTGCAGTGGAAGAAGAGGCACTTCAAATCTTACCAGGTAGATTATGGTCTCGCTACCTTTCGTATTTCAAGTAAGTTAGTCTATACTTACGTTAATTTAGCTCTGTACCTTATTGGGAATGTGGCTAATTCCTGTATATGTTTGCCTTTCGCGTAGTTGGTACAGGTTTCTTGTCACCTGGCTAATTTATACTATATGTTCTACATGGATCTGGCGCAAATCCACTGAAGATCACATCAGTGGAACGACTCCAAGGTGAGACATCTTGCTCAGTTGTACGCGTTTTCCCAGGTACTTTTGAAACCTTCTTTTTTGCAAACAGAAAGCCTTGAGGCAGGAGAGCTCCAATGTGAAACTTGATTGTTAGAAAGCTTCTATCGATTGATCTTGCCAGAGTCTTGGCTAGTGATGGGAAGATTTCAAATTAATTTTTATCTGTCTAATTGGTAACGTTTGTACGCTTGTCGAAATGTTATGGGAACATTAAATCTGTGTTGCTTCCAAGCAAATTCATCTTATAAGAATACTTCACTGCTCCATCCTCAGCATACGCGCATATATCTCACAAACTTACCAATTTTCTCCCTTTCAGACTTGTTTACAAGTGGTTTCTATTCCTGCATAAGCTCAGCTATGTGCTTGGGGTAGCCGGCTACATAATTATGATCTTTACGCTCATGGGTCTCAACTTTATTTTTGGATTGCAGTCAACCACTTGCATGGACGCAGGTCTCATTCTGAAAATTTTCACAGGAAGAGCTCTACCATTTCAGTTTTGTAGTTGAGAGTGTCCTAGGAATTCTTCTCTTGTTCTATGGTTTGTATTACGGAGTTCTCGGCCGTGATTTCGCTCATATCTGCACTGATCGAATGGCGTGCAAAATAGGGGTTTGTTCCTTTTTTTTT